GCCGTTCTTCTTCACATGAGCCTGCTCTAATAGAGGTGGCAGTTAAGAGGCTGAAAAGGCCAGGGTTTTGCCAGTGGTCAACTTTGTGTACAGGCCTGGAGGTTTCTGTTGTATGAAAGTTTTCATGGGGGTCACTGGACTGGTCACTAGAAGGACTAAAACCACTAGGGAAACTCTTACTTTGCTGGTGAATTTTTCTAGATAAAGTCTGCCTTCTGTATATTCAGATTTATATACTTCCTGACAGTGAAACTAATTAGATCCTGGAATAGGCTCCTAGGGAAAAAACCTCACAAACGAGGCAGTTTTACTTTATTTAGCACTTTGGAAAATAAGATAGAAAAGATATTAAGATACTTTATTTTCTTCTGAGTTTAGAAAAACCTTTTTCTTAATCTCTGTTGATTTTGTGCCTCTTTTCTCAATATACTCTAAACGTGCTAGCGTATAACAATATATTTATAAAGGTAGGTATTACATGTAGGTTTTAAAGAGTCTTTGCACTAGGTGTGTTAAAATCCAGTGTAAGTGAAAACAAATAAAGAGGAACTATTTAAAATGTGTTTAATGTAAATGAAGATGAACTATAGCATGTGTTTGGAAAATAATTTATTTGAAAAACTTTCTTTAAGGTGTTTCTATCAAGACTTGAGTAGGTTCACCCTCCCTTCCCTCCTCCTTTTGTGGTGGAAGTCAAGAAACTTACTCTTCAAAGTTTTTCCTGGTTTTCCCTTTATTCCCTCTAGTGACAGAAAATAAAATCTCAGATTGGGCTGCTAAATTTACTCATCCTACCAATCATTTTTCATTTATTTTTAATCTTTTTTTTGGCAGCTGGCCAGCACAGGGATCGAACCCTGGACCTTGATGTTATCAGCACAACATTCTAACCAACTGAGCTAACCGGCCATCCCTATTTTTATTTCTAATTAGTGCTTACCACTATGAGTCTTTCCTTTTTTTCATTTCCTTGCAGTTCTTTTCATATTGCTCCCTTTTGGTTCCCCTTGTCCAGGAACATTCATAATGAACTTTACTATGCTACTTCCCAGTGTGGTCTGGCTCTGGGTCCCAATGTCTTTGATCATTTTGGATTAGGCTTTGAATCTTTTCTTGTCTTTTTATGGACACATTGCCACTGTGAGTTAATGAAAGTTTGATTCTTCTGCACATGACAGATCACAGCAGCTGCTGTTAAAGCCTTCACCATCTGGAATTAAGTCTTTGACTTGTGCTGTGGGCAGTGAGGAATTAAAGAGTATGCTTTCCATGCAGAAAAGTAACAGCAGGGCTTCTTGTGGTTATTACAAATTATACCTTTCATTTCCTGAGAGTACCAGTGCCTGCCTTGGCAATGTTAAAACTTTCCAGCAGTAGTAACTGGAAACGCCCATCAGTGGTTCACTTCTGAGAAGATGAGAGTAATGAAGCAATTTTGATGATGGGTGGCAAGTACAAGCTGTTTTTGGTTTAGTTTTACCAGGAAAGTTTAGGTAAGATTCCTTTAGAACCATGAATAGCACAGCAGTTATATATTCCAATTGGGTGTACTGGGTCTTTTTGAAGGATGACGTTCCATAAAATTCTGCTGAGGGTTTGTAGCAGACTTCCAAAGTGAAAAGCTGCTTATCACATCATTACTGCTGTTGGGTTTAGCTGTGTACTGCTCACGTCAACCTTGTTATTGTAAATGTAAATATATTATATAATTTAAATCAACTTTCTTGGTTGAAAAAGGCTACGTAATTCCTATAAAAATCAATGTTAACTCTTCTGAGACAGCAGGCTCTTTTTGCATCAAAGACTTTGCTCCCGTGAAAAAGAAAAAAACGCTATTTTCTTTTGGATGAGATAATGCTTTTGAAGTTTGCTAATAAAAATGAATACTCTTAAAAAGTTCAAACTTACTGACTGCAAATATTATGCCCAGGGTTGATAAATCTTTGGAATATAGGTGGATATAGAGGAAAATTTTTATCCTAAATAAATCACTAACAAATCAAATTCAGTAGTTCATTAAATGACACATCATGATCAGGTAGGGTTATTCAAATAATTAAAGAATGGTATTATTTAGGAAATTTATTTAACACATCACATTAGTAGAGTGAAATGCTGGGCAATGGCACACTAAACCTGTTTCTTGTCACTCCCAGGCTACATTTCTAGATTTCATTTCTTGACATTTCTCAGCCTCTCTTGCTGTTAGGAATGGATTTGTGCCCAAGATCTGGCAAATGGAATGTAACTCAAAAAGTTCACCACTTCCAACTCTAGCCCATAAAACATTTTCCTGCGTAATCATTTACCTTCTTTCTCTATGAGAGATGGCAGAGACACAAGATGGAAGTGGTGGTCGCTTTAATAATCATTTGGAAGGCTACCTTGAGAACATCTGCACCTGTCATAGGAATAGTAAGTTTCTTAAGATTTTGAGGATTGGTTTGTTACAGCAGTTAGACTCATACTGACTAATACTGATAGCAAAAAGACATTTCATAAAATTTAACACCTACTACTTTTTTTAAAATTGTAAAATGAAATAGGATTATTAATTCATTAAAAGTACTTGTCATATCAAATGTCAACATTGTTCTTAATGAAGTAAGATAGTCATTTTCATTAAAATAAAGATAAGGATGCCTACTGCTACCACTATTAATGTCAACTGGCTAGAAGTTCTAGCTAATAGCTAAGAAATGAAATTACCATGATTTGAGATGAAGAGAATCATCCACCTAGAAAATCCAGTGGAAGTCAATGCAAAATTATTAGAGTGATATTGGAACTTTAATAAAGTCATCTGCTACAAAATAAATATTAAAAATCGATGTTTTCTATATGACTTTAAAAAAAGTAAACTATGTATCTTCTAATATATGTAAAAGAACCAAAGAATAGGAAGATACAATGAAAAAAGAACAGAGATTTAAAAAATGCTCTGTGAAATTAAAAAATAATAGCCAAAACAAAAGTTCAATAGAAATTTAAAAGATACATTTCATAAATTTTCTTAGAAAGAGAAGAAAAATTCAAAGAGATGGGCAAAAGGAATGGAAAAGAGAGAAAATTAAAGGAACTGCCCACGAAGTCCAATATCTGACTGAAAGGAGTTCCAGTGAAAAAGAGCAAGCAGAATAAAGGCAATTATTGCACACATAATTAAACACTTCACTCACCTGAATGACTAAGCTAAAGAACTAAATTAAATCCCATGCTTTATTCAGATTTCCTGTTTTTAACCAGTGTGCTTTTTCTTTTCCACGATTCCACATTACATTTAGTTGTCATGTCTTCTTTGGCTCCTCTTGGCTGTCACAGTTTCTCAGACTTTTTGTTTTTGATGATCTTGACTCCTTTTGAGATGTACTGGTCAGGTATTTTGTAAGACGTCCCTCTGTGGGGATTTATGGAGTATTTTTCTCATGACTAGACTGAGGTTAAGGGTTTTGGGGAGAAGATCTCAGAGGTAAAGTGCCATCTTCCTCACATCATCCTATCAAGGGTACATACTCTCACATGACTTATGTTAATGTTGACCCTGATCATCTGGCTGAAGTATTGTCAGGTTTCTCCACTGTAAAGGTTAAATCTCCCCACATCCCCTGCACTGTATTCTTTGGAAGGAAGTCACTACCTGATGCCCAGACCTAATGAATGGAGAGTTATATTCCACATCAAGGGTGGATTATCTACAAAAATCAATTGGTTCAATACCTAGAAGTGTGATTGCTGGATCATATGGTAAGACCATATTTAGCTGTGTAAGAAACTGACAAAAGTGCCTGTACCAATTTGCATTTCCACCAGTAATGAATGAGTTCCTGTTGCTCTGTATCTTCACCAAAAATTGTTATTAACAGTTTTTTTGATTTTAACCATTCTAATAGGTGTGTAGTATCTCATTGTTGTTTTCCTTGCTAATATTTTTAAGTTAAATGATGTATGTCTTGTTATTCAAGAGTACCTGTGGATCTTTGTGCCAATTCTTTTTCATTTTTTGATGAATAAAGTCTTTTTTGCATGCTTGTTAGACATTGTATTTTAAAAAGTACTTGTGGATACATAGAATAACATTTTCTTCCTCCAGAGAGAATTTTCATTTTTCTGCCTGGTGCCTGAGGGGATAATCCAGAGGAACCTTAATCTAATTTCAGGATTTGAGCTTTTTTTTTTTTTTAAAAAAAGATGACCAGTAAGGGGATCTCAACCCTTGGCTTGGTGTTGTCAGCACCACGCTCAGCCATTGAGCCAACCAGCCATCCCTATATAGGATCCGAACCCGTGGCCTTGGTGTTATCAGCACCACACTCTCCCGAGTGAGCCACGGGCCAGCCCTAGGATTTGAGCTTTTTCTAGTCTATCCACCCAGATAATTTGAAAGGATTGCTTTATTTACAGTTCACATTTACTCTTAGGATCCAACCCTTTGAGATTACAATTCTGAGTGCAGATTGGTTGCAGACTTACCTCCCCTTGTCCTCCAGCCCTTTGAGGCTGTCAATAGCACTGTTCAACTTCTCAGCCACCTTTTCCAAATCATCAAATGCTCCCTGAGCAAAAGAAGCTCCAAATGTTGGGCTTGGCAGTGTGAATTTGTCTCTTCTCTCAGATCTTAACCTGGCAATTCCTCACAATCTTAGCTTTTCATGTTCGGGGATGATATTGTTTTATTTCATCCATTTTTTTGGTCTTTCTCTTTTGGGAGGTTTGTCTGGATTACCTAATCCACCATCAAGAGCATAAGCTGGGTCTTGGGTTCCTTTGCTTCATCCCACTCTCCAAGTCTCCCACTGCCTTAAAAAAATTATGGCAAATCTGGCTGTACAATTTATACTTTTGGGAAGAAATTGTGACCAAAAACAAGAGGCCTGACAGTCTTCTCCTTCCCCAGTTAAAAAGAAACTTTTGACTTATTAGTCTTGGAGTCACTAATCTAAAAAACTATACTAATTCCTGGTCCAGGACTACTACACCTAACTGCAGAATATTCCACAATCTCTTATACAAAGAACATTTTATTAATGAAAAGATTACATAAAACAAAGTCTTTGTACACAAAGTTATCTGTTTAAAAAAGTGGAAAAGTTAGTATTTACACCCTTTTTCATACAGTACATGATAATTTTCTTTTTATGCTGTAACAGAACGCTAAATAGAGAGAAAGCCAAAAGCATCAGAAAACCTTACTCAAGCAATAATACTTAACGGAAAACAAAATTAAGAAAATTCCTTAATATTTAAAGTATGTTGTAAAAAATACATTTTGTTTATTAGGACTACATTTTTTTCCATTTGATTGGCACTAATATTGCTAACACACTTTTGAATGTTCAACGAAATCCTACTTTGCTACAGAAATGAATTCTATGTAATATCTGAGAAAGATATTACACAATATAAACTGTTTTTTGTATTTTAAATGTTAAAAAACAAAAAAATAGAAGCAATTATAAATGGTAATAATACAATCTTGGGTGGTCATAAAACATAAAAAAAAGGAAATCAATTGCACTTTGCTTAACTGATAAAAAGACTAACATTTCAACTACTAATCCTTCAGGACATTTTATTTTAAAAATGCAGAAGGAACAGTGAGCAGCATTATTCAATCAACATTGGATACTCTTCCAGTAAGCACCTCATTTCACTTGCATAACAGATCTGTGAAATTCCTAAAACAATGAGACTTTATAAAATTCACACATTTTAGATGGTAAGGTAGAAGTAAGTGGTTTTTTAAAGTTGAATTCCCATAATAAACCTTTTGGTGTATCAATGTATCAACTACTTTTATACTATAAAAGAATACTATTTTCCACTTTTCTTAGAAATTCAGTGTGAAAGCTACAAAAGTAGTGCTAAAATAAAAGAATAATATAATAAAAACATTTGAGTAGATTTTCCAAGATTTCCAAAAAAATTCAAATATATATAAGCTTATTTTCAAATGTATATATAAAAAGATGCAAGGATAAGTTTTAAATACTTCAGCAAAGAAAAATCTTGATTTTATATCAAAAAAGTGAAATAGCATAGTACATCTTAAAATGCTTTTAATGAGAGCAGAATCTTCATAAATAAAGAAGATTCCTCTCTCTCCTCCCACACAATTTTAAAAATATTATTAACCCACACGGTTCTGTTTTTCAGGTATATTGTTGTCATTAATCTTTGAGTGAAATGAATAGTATTATTCTTGAAATCTATTTTCTCCAGTATTAACAGTAGACAATGCAGCCTTAAGTGCAAAAAAAGAACATAACAGTGATTCTTACAAGACAGTGCATTGGTTGTTCACCTCCAGTGTAACATGAATTCACTTCTGAGTAACAGGATAAAATGTTTTTCAAGTATATGAATGACTGCCAGCGCCCTGTTCTTTTCTAACTCCTGAAACTGAGTGAACAAGCAGAGATGTGGAACCTTTGAGGCTGCTTGGCTCTGAAGAACTGGGGACCTGCAAATTGTTGTTCTGCACTGGGCCAGTTTCAGTAATATCACTCTTTGGACTTATCCTAGATTTAAAAAAAAAAACACGTTGATATGTATACATACACAAACACAAATATGATGCCAGATGTCCTTATAACTGCTACCCATTTTTCATGAGTTTTACCTCCCAAGTGTCCACCTTTATCAGAGGATAATTAAATAAAATCTCTAGGTATATGTTAACACTTCAAAATACAAATAAAATTTTTTTCAAATACAATTTTCACTAACTTCAGAAACTTCATCAAGCACTACCCCATGCATGGGCTGAGCATGGTGTTTTGTAGGGAATACAATTAATTCCTGTCCTCAGTTTAGCAAATATTTTATTGATTTCTCCCCATGGATCAGACACTGTATAAGATGTTGGGAACACAAGTAAGACCTCAGCTCTGCCTTTGAGCACTTTACAAATCTAGTGGAGAATAAAAGCATGTATCTAATTACAATCCAGGTATATGAAAGCTGGTCATGGGAACACAAAGAAGGTGCATTTCACCCAGTTTGAGAAGGCTAGGTAAGATAACCTTGAGACCTGAAAGTAGTTAGCTGTCTGCATTCTGGCTAATTTGATGTTTACCTGTGTTTTGGTCACCTAAGACCATTTGGGAAAATTCATTAAAGATAATGTCAATATCCTTTCATGTTCAGAAAATAAAAACATTTTATAATCATCTTTGTATAAAATGACACCTTTTAGACAGTACCCATAATGTAGTATTAATTAAAACTTAGCCGGAATAGTAAACATTTACCTAAATGTACAAGCAACTCTTAACAGTTGTCATAGAAATGAATTTTACTTTCCTACTTGAACAACATATAATAAGGCTCTTCTCAAAGCTAAGAATTAAATAGCAAATTTATAGGCTGAACCCAAACTTCCTTGGATTAAGAGTATAGACACATCATATAAAATGTTTTCTTTCCAGGGCCGGCCTGGTGGCGCACTGCTATAGTGCGCCACTTGGGAAGCGCGGTGGCGCTCCCGCCGAGGGTTCGGATCCCACATACAGACCGGTTCCCGCTCACTGGCTGAGCGAGGTGCGGGAGCAACACCGAGGGCTGCGATCCCGTTGCCGGTCCCGGTCCGGTATGGGGGCAACACTGAGGGTTGCGATCCGTCGCCAGACACGGAAAAAGACAAAAAGGAAAAAAAAAATGTTTTCTTTCCAGATGTTATGCTTTAATAAAAAACGTAGACTGCAGTATTTAAATTAGTGATGATTCTAGATAACAAAATTAAATCTCACCTTCCTTCGCTCTGCACACTTTCAGATACGCCGCTCTCGTTCACACCTCCTGCCTGGCCTTTCCTGTCAGCCTGTTCCCCAGAGAGTTTGGAGGTGGACGCTGTGGGGGAGGCAGGTTCACCACAGTCCTGTTCTCTTAATCTGGGGGTGCTTGCTCCGTCTGTTCTCACCTCTCTCACTGATGTTTCTGGCGAGGTTTGGACTTCTGTCAGAGTTTCTTGTCCTAAGTAATCATGGTTAGTGATTGCTACTGCAGAAGTGCCATGATTTGCTGTGGCTCCTGTGCTGGTTCCCATGGATTTGGAAATGACCTTCAGCTTATGTGAACTTGGTTTGTAGTGCTTCTTTTTGTGTTTAACTTTAGAATTGTGCTTTAAGAAAAACTCGCATGACTCCTGCAGTACTCTTCGACTTTCACTGATTGGACTGTAAGAAAATCGAAGAGGAGGATTTACTCAATAAATTTTAAGTGTTACAATTGAAGCCATAAAGGATATCTTGTATCTTTTGCCAAAAATCCCCAATCATTAAAGTTAGAAATTCTATATGATTTATATTACTTCTAAAATCTGGGATTATAAATGCTATTATATAAGTAGATTTCCATAAAATGAAATCTTTTGTACATAGTATCTTTTGCCAAAAATCCCCAATCATTAAAGTTAGAAATTCTATATGATTTATATTACTTCCAAAATCTGGGATTATAAATGCTATTATATAAGTAGATTTCCATAAAATGAAATCTTTTGTACATAGACTTAGTTGCTTTTGTCAGTATAAACAGTAAACTGGTAAGAAATTAAACAGGCAAACCAAAGGATGAGCACAAGGAAACTCAAACCAGCATAAAGAGACTATCTGTATTTGTATCCTATATACATATGTCAAATATAAAAGTAAATCAGAAGAAAAAGGATACAGAATATAATTAATGATCTTTGTTTATATTTATTTTCTAACATTAAAGTTAGCAAGCTACATTCAAGTTAGTGGGTATACAAATGGGATAGATATGCAATAAGAGTGCAAAATTATAAAGTCCAGTTAAATGCAATTGTTCAGACTTCAAAAAGTTGTTTGTGAAAAGTTCTATGGTTCTGAAATTTGTACCACAAAGAGTTCATTAATAAAACCAGTGGGGAACAATTTTTAAAACTCTATAGTACATTGTATGCAATGTACATTAATAACTAAAACTATTTACTCATAAATGTAAATCTATATTTTTACAGAGTATTCCATAAGTTTGAATTTTTACCATTTTTGATAAGGCAAATAAGTAAAATTTTAGGTCAGAACTGTGTGTGATAAAACTTAAAGGTAGTAAATAGTGATCATAGCACATCACTTATATTTGAATCATACTTTACAGATTTCCTTACATATATTTGATCCCATTTAATCTCTTATCATTGGTAAAAAAAAAAAAAAGGATAAAACTATTTAAAACGCTGCACATAAAATAATGAATTAAATGATAGCAGTAATATTGGATATACTATAAATCATGAAAAGAAAATGCACATTTTACAAATATTAGATTCATATTTCAAATAGAATAGTATATGTCAGAGACTATTATAACAAATGCCAAAATAAAGCATATCTCTTCCACGAAAAAGATTTCCAAACTTCAGTCAGCTCATCAAATTTAAATAATAGTTGATATAATGAAACTCTAGTGCAATGACGATCTGAATAATTCCTTGGTATTTTGATCTATTTATTTTAAAATAATGTCCAATAATTCAATAGGTTCTTACTCTCTTGTGCGATTTCGTTTAAAAAATCCAGCCCATTCTGTGCATGTCTTTTTGCTTCCAACCCAGAAGACAGCAGAGATGCCAACAATTAATGTCATCAGGTATTTTATCATAAATAAAGCCAATTCTGGTCGAGCTTTGGTTTTTGCCTACAAAAAAACAGTGAATAATAAAATTTTTGGTGATATATTTAAAGTGAAAAGTCTATATTGTTGATCTAAAATCTTAACAAAAATCATAAATCTTCATCTTTTGTTATAAAATGTTTGAAATAACAATACAAATACAATACAATAAACACTACTTTAATTGCAATAAGTTTTCTACCTATGTTCTGAACAAAGAACCTTTATCCGTGTTTTAAAATATATCTCTAGAAAAGGAAAATTACCAAAATATATTTAAGGAACACTCTCCTAAATCTTGGCATGATTTCCTGGCATTTTTTCCCATATAGGTACAACACCCTCTTATGCTTGCTAAAATATTTGCCTCTAAGAATTTACAAATTTTCCTTCACTATAATGTACCATAAAAAATACATTCAAGTGCATTCTAACAACGTATTGTTTACAGTCTTTACACTCTGTTAATATTTATAAAAATTTGGTAGGGTAGTATAAAATAAATATCAGTAAAATGTGAAAATGTAGAAATTTCATAAAAATTAAAATCATACTTTTCTTTCAAGCACAGACTTTCAAATACTATTTTTAAATGTTGCAAAAGTATCAAAATATTATACTTGCTTTTTACACTTATTAATATTTCTTGGAGACCATTCCATATCAGTACAAATACAGCTTTTCATTTTCTTAAAGGCTATCCCTTTGTGTATGAACCATAACTTATTTAACTACCCCTATCAGTGGATATTTAAGTTACTTCCAACCTATAGCCATTTGCAAATAATGATGCAGTGACTATCTCTCTATTATGTAATTACTCACAGTTGTGAGCAGATATGTCTCTAAATTCCTAGAAGGGCAGGACCAAAGATGTGTATTTTAAATACAATAAATATTGTCAAACTGCTTTCCACAGAAGGTTGAACTAATTGAAACTCTTAATAGCAAAGTCTGAGAATACGTATTTTGCCACAGTTTCACCAACACAATGGTTATAAAACCGTTAGATGTTCACCATATCATAAACAGGAAAATAATTTTAGTTTACATTTCTCTTACTTTAACATTTTTTTTTACATGTTTAAGAATAGTTTTTTGATTTTTATTTTCTATGAACCCTCATTTTTATATCAGTTTGTTGATTTTTTTTCTTACTGGTCTGTAGAAACTCTTTATAAATAAAAGAAATTGGCCCTTCAACTATGATGTGATATGCAAATAAATTTCCCAGCTGGTCTTTTGACTTTGATTATGGGGGTTTTTTTTTGTTGCCATGCAGAATCTTAAAAAATTATTATTTTTTACTTAGTTAAATATAGCAATCTTTTCTTTCATAGTTTCTGAATTTTATATCATACGTAAGTCCTTTTCTACTTGAAGATTATAATCTTGTTTTCTAATATTTTATAGTTTCTTACACGAAACATAATTTTTAAAAACCATAGATCTTAAACTTTTTGTCAGTATGTAATAGTTGTTTTCTTCCCCCTAGTTTGCTAAAAAGACTGAGGATTCTAGGGGACATTTAATATAGCAGGATCACTCTAAGAGACAGTTCTCTTATTAAGTATACAGTAAAAACAGACTAAGGATAATAGACTATGGACAGCATGTAAGGCAAGTAAAACTGCTATCCCCACACATCAGTATAAAAAGGAGGTTGCACTATGTCATAAAGCAATAATATTCTAGAATATAAATTATGTAAGATAATACAGCCCACACATTGCTTGATTTGATACACTGATGACAGTGCTCATGTTCAATATAGTTAGTATCATATATAAATATTCAAAAATAATGTATAAAGTCTATTAAAAACAAAAAAAAATTTTTAGACCTCAACTAAAATGTTTTAAGAAATATTATATTTTCAGAAATTTACACTTTTAAATCTTAAAAACACCACCCTTATACTAATTATAAATAAGCATCAGAAATACATGAAACATATTTTGTTTCAATTGTGTTTTTTCAGTTAAGAAAAGACAGAATGGGTTAGGCAAAATCAAATTCCGTTTTTATAAGTATATACTATTCAAAAAGTTATAAAATAATATAATCAAATTAAATATACCCAAATAAGCTTTTCCCTACTAACTGAAGAATTAAAAACAATCCCCAATTCAGCAGAAGTTACTTCTCTTTTTCTCCCTATGACAAGGCCTGTTCTTCTGACTCTGTTCTTCACTACTATTAATCTGACTTTGCAACCCAATTTAATTTATAAAAGAGCAGTTAAAGGAGGCACTTTACTATTATAACTGAAGCTAAAGTTTGAAGAAAGAACTCTTCTTCTCTTTTTCTCCCTATGACAAGGCCTGTTCTTCTGACTCTGTTCTTCACTACTATTAATCCGACTTTGCAACCCAATTTAATTTATAAAAGAGCAGTTAAAGGAGGCACTTTACTATTATAACTGAAGCTAAAGTTTGAAGAAAGAACTCTTCGGACACTTACAGTTTCAATTGATTCCCTATGTCTGTTAAATTTTCTCACCTGAAATCTGATTTTGTGTCAATGACTAATAAAAATACATTTCCAGGGAACATTTTCTACATTAAAAGTATATAGTGACATAATTAAAATGATAGCCTTTACCTGATAAGGACATGGGATATGGTACTGATGACAATGATCAGAGACCCAAGTTATCTCCCAAGTAATCCTGTTGACTTGCTCATAGACGTAACATCCAAGAAGTGTCACCAATGGCACAAGATATAGGCCACTGAAGACTCCAATTCGAATCATGAATTTCTTTAGTTTCTCTTGGTTCCGGCCATCATGTTGTATAACTTGTCGAACATGATTTAAGGAAATAATGCCAGCTAAAAGAAGAGATAGCCCAACAAACACACAAAGGCACAGTGGCAAGAGCACAAAGTAGCGAGAAGCATCCAGGTCATAAAGGCCAACAAAGCAAACTCCGCTAATATTGTCTCCTTCAACTTTGTTCATGGCAAGAAGCATAACAGTCAGAAAACCTGGAATTCCCCATGCGACAGCATGAAACCACACTGCTTTTTGTTCAATGGCCTCACAACTCCATTTTCTTCCTGCAGCTAAGAACCAAGTAATGGTAAGAATCACCCACCACACAGTGCCGGCCATTGTGAAAAAATACAAAAACATAAACAAAATGGTGCAAGCCTTATTTTGAGAGCCTAGAACAACTGTGTCACCAAGTTCTAGCTTCTCATCTGCTTTATTGCAGGCTGTGCGATTACCTAGCAAAAATCCGATAAAGTACATAAGGGATACAATGCTATAACAGACAGAGTAATATATAATTGGTCTCTCTGGGTATCTGAATCTTTTAACATCAATTAAAAAAGTAAGAAATGTGAACAGAGTTGCACAAAGACAAAATATTGAAACTATTCCAATAAAACTTTTTGCAAACTCTAGCTCATCACTTTTAAAATACATGTTGGGGCATGGAGGTGCACACTGTTCAATTCCCAGAAACTTATAGCCTTGTCCCCCAGAAGTCTTAAGATGCCTTGGACACCAAAATCCAATATCTCTTTGGACTTGTTCTGTTTTCTTCTGAGGACCAACAAACTCAGTGTGTGGATCAAAAGTTACAGGAACAGTCTCATCACAGTATTGTAATCTGTAAAGATTATAAAAATCAAATTTATGAAGTCAACATTTTTATTGATTTACTATTTTCAGGCTATGCTTTCTAACTGTAAATTATTACCTTATGCATTCATAATTGATGAGAAGACATAAAAAAATAAATTACAGATTAGAGCTGGGTACAAAGCATTAAAGTTGACTAAAAACTTGTGGTTATTAATGAGACCCTAAAACACTAATAAATATAAAATACAACGCAGGTGAACATAAAAATTCACTTGGAAAACAATTAGTCAGTTGAACATTTTTAATATTTTCTGCTTTTAAGACTATATATTTAAGAAATAATTCATCTTAATTGGTAGTCTCCAGACAAAAAAAGTGCTGGATTATCTGTTTATTGAATATGAAATTCATTCTCATTTTCTAATGCCCACAAGCAAAGTAAATAAAACATACGACTAAGGTGATGACAACTGAAATGACTGAATTGAGATCCTTCCCTGGATCGATAGGGTAGAGTTCAAGTACTTAAAGAAGGGCAAGAAGAACGCCACGAGGTAGGCTGAGGACCAGCTCACCGCACGTCACCACTTTGCTCACGTTTGCCTGGTTGCTTCCCTTGTTTACGGACAGACCTGAGTGATACACATGGATATTTCTGTCTTGGGCAGAACTTTATCACTGGATTGAGTTTGTACACACCAATATTATTTTGGAGGATCTATATGGTTTAAAAAAATGGTGGGGGGTTTTAACAAGGAAGCATTTTAAATACACTTTAGATAAGAAGAGAGAATAATAAAATATACGCCCATAAAATGAACACTCATGTACCTACCAGCTTTATTAAAAGATAATATTGTATCAGTTTTGCTTTATGTCTTTTAAAATGAAGCTATATAACATTACAGATACAGTTATTACCCCCTTCTGGTTCTTATTCCCTTTTCTGTCTCTCCTCAGAAGTATTCATTACCACAAATTCAGTTTTTGTTCTCCTCAAGAGTTTAAAAATATTTCTACTACATTATTTACTAACTATAAACTTAGATAGTATTGTTTCACAGGTTTCTAACTTTATATAGACATCATGCTGTATACATCATGATGCAATTTCCTTTTTTAAACTCAACACTATATATTTTAGATTTATGCATGTTGACAGATATGAATCAACAGCATTCATTTTATCAACTGTGTGGTAGTATTCCAGTAGGTAAGTACATCACAATTTACTAATTGTTCTTCTATGATAGATTTTTAGACTTTTTACTGTTAAAAAAATTAGGAATAATGCTACTATCAATATTCTTGTGCATAACTCTTTGTGTTCGAGCTTCTATAGAAGGGGATTTCCTAGAATGTAGGGCATGAGCATCTGCAACTTTAGTATATATTACTCAATTGTTCTTGAAAATTATTATGCATCTATCAGAAGTGTGTGAGTTCCACAAAGGGTCTATGGTTTCTTCAGTCTAGAGATAAACCCAAAAAGCTAGCCAGCTCCCTTCCCCAATTTCTTATACGAGGTCTCACTATATCAGTAGAATATTTAAAATTACAAGCTCCCAGAGTCTAGAGAATAGAAAATAAAAGTAATCATGGAGACTAATGTGCAAAATGTCAGTGAATTGGTAACAAGCTTCATTCATGAGTTAATCGTGCTTAAAATCCTATTTTCTGGGCCGGCCCAGTGGCGCACTGGAGAGTGCACCGCTTGGGAGCGCAGCAGTGCTCCCGCCGAGGGTTCGGATCCCATGTGGAGACCGGTTCCTGCTCACTGGCTGAGCGAGGTGTGGGCACGACACTGAGGGTTGCGATCCGTTGCCGGTCACGAAAAAAGAGACAAAAAAAAAAAGACAAAAAGGAAAAAAAAAAATCCTATTTTCTCAATATGAACTCTAATTGTAAATGATCAAGCCAAAACTTATTCACTATCACAGAAAAGCCCAGATTAAATATTTCTTTTGAGAGAAAATAAGTGTATGCCTGAGATTTTTATATCCAATAAAGATAATTTGCCCTGCCAAAATATTACAATAACTCTGGTCTAAAGGTATATGTAACAAGTATAGTATTTTGACCTTACCATAGCAGAATATTTCATGTTATAAAAATATCTGTTAATTAAGCACTTTTGCATTATTTTCCTTTTAAAATGAACTTATTTAAAAATCTGTCATAGTATAGTAGGTGAGGGATGGAAATGCCTGCTGATAAATCATGTCAGGACAGTATATTTTCACGAAAGCAATACCTTTGAGTGGAAAAAGTTTGACTATCATGAAAAAGACAGGAAAATGAGTGAAAGAAAAACAGTATAACAGAAAATGATTAGACTCCACAGCCAAGTATATTTTCACGAAAGCAATACCTTTGAGTGGAAAAAGTTTGACTATCATGAAAAAGACACGAAAATGAGTGAAAGAAAAACAGTATAACAGAAAATGATTAGACTCCACAGCCGCTCAGGGGGTATGGTGGGTGTGCAGTGCTGTGGGAAAAGTGTGTGGAAAGAGAAGGGAAGAGGCACCAGGTCACAAAGGGAGGGACTCATCCTCTAGCAAGCTGTCAGGGAGCAGCTGCAGCCGGAGCTGAAAAGAAGTCCAGTGTGCCACAAAACTCCTCACATATAGAAGCATGCCTGTGCTGCGACAAGCTGAGAAACCCACAGGCCTCAAAGAATTACTACACCTTTTTACCTTCCTTCCAAGACAAAGGCAGTGGAATGGCAAAGGCATTCTCCTAAGTGACCAACGGCCTAATGTATGCCATAAGCACACAGTTCCACCATTTCTCAAATAGTAAAGCTGTCTATGTTTTTACCACAAAGCTAACTATGTTAAACCTTTCATTATGCTAGAAACTTTTCAATGAGCCAGAGTTAGGGTTTTAATCAGAAGTTCCCTTCTTTCTTTGTATTTTCAAAATAAATAAGATGCCACAAAAGCCTTCATTTATGGAAATGAAGAAAATAAAATTTCTCTGGTTAGAACACATCAGAATTGTTCTTATATGAAATTGACCCAGTTAACATTTTATAAAGGGATGTTTATGAATTTGCTTTATATTAGTGGGATAGAATTTAACAGAGGGCTTAAATAATTTTTAAAAATGAATTCTAGTCCCCAATTCAATGTATCAAACATTCTCAAACATGAAATAAATTTGATTTGGTTTAATTATGAGAGAAAAAGTGTCAGTGTCTCAAAAAAATCAGACTACAAAAATGAAAACTCCAAAAGAGTTGGTAATCATAGTATAAATGCCAGTGTAAATTTTTGTAACTTATAACCCTCCTGCTTTGAAACTGAGTAGGCAAGCCCGTAAAGAAAGAGCCAATATTTTCTCCACAAGCCTTATCATCTTCTAATATAAATATAACTTTTACATTTCATCTTCTCCCTCCCTCCACTAAAATGTAACATCTACTATGGCAGGAATTTTTGCCTGCCATACCTAGTGCCTCAGACAGTCCTGACATATAGTAAGAGTACAACGAATATTTGTTGAATGAATCAGCAGTTTTCTCTCCTCTCTTTTTCCTGTCATCATTCTTGGTGACTTGACCATCCATGTGGACAATCCATGGATCCTATGGCTTCTTAGCTCCTCAGCCTCCTCATCTCCAATAACTATCCTTAACCCATTTTGGCCCCCTGCAATCATGGTCATACAAGGTACCCTGCTACAACCTGTAAGTGCACACTATCTCCAAAACTCAACTCAAGCATCCTGCCCTTGGTCTGCAAGCTCCTATCCTTGTGGCTCATTAATCCAAAAATTCCCACTGACTATGCCTTTTTTAAAAAAGTCTCATTGGGGATCCCCTCTAATCTGTCTCCATACATCCGTCCTTTCCTTTCTTCACTTCATCATCCATTTAGACTTTCACAGGCTATCGTTTCAGTAATACCCCTTTACTGTACTTCATTCTTTTACTACTGCTCCTTTATCTTTGCACTGAATCCATGTGACAAAACCTCAACCACAGATGAACCAAACTATCTGCTTTATTTGTACTTAGTCCCAGGCATCCCAGCACTGCTAGAGAAGATGTCAACATGTCAGATCCACCACAAACTCAGGATCATCTGATTTATCTAAAATGTTATGAAGCCTCACCAGTCTACTCACTTCCCACTCTTTATTACTCCCACTTCTCTCAAACTCATGCCCTTCCTCCCCAGACTCTCAAAAGAGAATCTTACTACTTCACAATGGAAATGGAAACCATCAGATAGGAATCTGTGCAACAACTCTTACCAAAAATCTAAACCTACCTATATCCCTAGCAATCCTATCCTCTTTCCTGATAACACAATGGAGGCTCCTCCCATCCACGGTCAACATTTTACTTGTGCTTGGGATCCTACTTCCTCAGAAAACTTATTATCTCTTCTAGCCTATGTATGCTGGCCTCTTCCTTGTTCCTAGCAGTTCTTAAAGTAGTCAGTTCTTTTCCATTAAAATAGACTCTTCTTGACCTTCCCCTTCTGGTGACCACACTGCTCTTCCTCTCTTTCACAGCCAGTTTCCTGAGAACTGTCCATGTGTCCTGCTGTGCTTTCCACTCACTCCTTCACCCACTGCAGTCTGCCCTTTGCCCCAACCACTCTAGTGAAACAGTACGAGGTCATGTTCTTTTTGACTGGCAGCACTTGGCACTTCCTCTGCCTTGAATACCTTCTTCCCTTCTGGACACACATCTCCCATTGTCCTTATTATTAGTTCAGTTGTAACTATAATGACATCTTGCCAAAAGGAATGACAGTGGAAAAGGCACAGTACTTCTGGTCCACAGCATTTAAAAAGGTGTGAGTTCTCTACCTTCTCTCTCCCCCATCTACATGGCTGTCAGAGTTGCAATATGGTAGCAGCCTGGATTCCTAAGATGAACTGCCGAGGAGAGCTGCCCACAACTCAGCAGGCTGTGACACAAGTGCCGTGCTCCACACAGAAGCTGGCAGGAGCATGATCCCCATTCCTACCTCAAAACACCTGAAGACCTTCTCATTTTTTATTAGCATAAACACATGCCAGATGGGTCCTGAATGGTCTGACTGCTGTTTCTCCCTCCTTCCTTACCTTGCACCACATTCTTTCTTATCCTCATCACTCCAGCAGCCCTGGCTTTTTATAGTTCTCTGAATATGCCAAGCTCCCTCCCATCACAGGGTCACTGCACAAGCTACTCTTAACAGCCCCAAATGCTCTTCCCTCACATCACTGCCTAGTTACCTCTGTCTTACCCTTTATACAATAGCTCAACAGTCATTTCCTTCCCTTTCCCCCAGTTCAGAACAAAGGTACTACTACACGTTCTCATAAAACTATGCACCTCTCCTTTGTTGTATCTACCACAGTCATAATTTTGCATTTCCTGGCATAAATACTTGATTACTATCTTTCCCTCCACCTCACTGTAAGCTACCTGACAGCAAGAACCAAGTCTGTTTTTTGCTCACCATTATGTCTGTAACACTTACCACCATAGTGCCTGGTATATAATAAATATGCAATAAATTTTTGTTGAATTAAATAATGAAATTCTGTCACTAACATTTTTGAGCATTAACACCAATATCAAAATACCATTAGTAGCTTTCGGTGGAAAACATAATTTACCTGTCACATTCAAGTTCCTCAGGCCATCGGATCCCAAAAGTGTCAATTAATTTTTTGCAATCAGAATATACTTTCTCACAAAATTTACGACAAGGTGGAACTACATGAATTTGCTCTGTGCAGGTTGGTACAAAAGCTTTGCAAAGAAAAGTTTCAACATTTGGTGAACATTCCAGATTTGCAAGAGGAAGAAAATGCTGTTGAGAAAAACAAAAAGATTAGGTTAGAAAACATTTTAATAACAAATTAATGAAATTGATTAATTTACTGTTTAAAGTATATACCTTTTGACTTACACTTCGAAAGAATTTAAATTTCCCTCTCAATACAATCAAATTTTAAGGAGATAACTTCATTTAGTCTGTTAGACCTATGCACCTTTCTTACACAATGAAATACTATTATTTTATTCAATTATACATTTTTCAAGAAGGCATGGATTACTCCAGTGAAACCACTTGTCAGAGTCACGGATAAACTCTGCAAATCCCATGGTAACTTCTGAGTGTTTGTGCTACTCAACTCTTGACGACAGTGACACAGTGGATCCTATCTTCCTCCTGAGGCACTTTTTTCACTTGTCTTCTAGGGTAACTAATTCTCCTGGATTTCCACCTATCTCACAGGCTGTTCCTTTTCTGATCCTCTTCCATTTCCCAATTCTATATGATGAATGCTCCGGAGCTCAGTCCCCCGACTTCTTCTCTATCTACACTCACTCCTCAGAGGAAACACATCTGGACCCCACCTCTCCTGTGAACCCTACACTTGAATAAGTATGTGCTGCCTGGACAACTCCATTTGGCTGTAAACAGGCACCTCAAATCTAACATATCCAAAGCACAGCTCAATCCCACTGCATCTCTATCCCCCAAACAGTCTTTCCCATCTCAGTAAATGATGTCACCATTCACCAAGTTGATCCTATCATTCTCTGTTCCCTTTCTCTGGTTTGGATTTCTTTTGAGACCTTATCCGTGTCTGACATTTCATATATTACTAGTTTACTTCTTAATTTCTGCCTTCACCACTGGAATGTAAATTCCATGAAGAAAGGGTCTTTGTTTATTTTGTTCACTGCTATATCTCCAGTGCCTTAGAATGCTGTTTGCTACAGAGTGATTTTTAGAATAAATATTTACTGAATAAATGGATGACTCTCCAGAACAATGAATGAACAATGACAAGGCTTGTCAATAAGAAATCTCAGAACATCAAGATAAAGAGAAGATCACAAATGTTTCCAGAGGGAAAAAACGTAATATATGCAAATCAATTAAATTCTGAATATCTGATAATATCAGATGCTAGAAGACAATGAGGAAATGACTCTCAAATTCTGAAGGAAAATTACTTTCAACCTAGAATTCCACACCTGGCCAAACATTTAGGTAAGGGTAAAATAATGATGTTTTTGACCCTATAAGGAATAAAAAATTTTAACTGTCAAGTATCCCCTTTTAGGAAGCAACTGAAAGATGTAGTATTCCCAAAATAAATGAAGGAATATATGAATAAACTAGGAAAAAAAATGATATGGAACTCAGGAATTAGTTGATCCAACACTGGACAATGTTAAGAGAAATTGAATCTTCAGCATGACAGCTACAAATAAAATTCAGAAGCAATCAGAGCATATTTGATAGGAGAACAAAAGGCTGAAGGAGAAAGGTCTCCAGAGGGTGGGAATGGGGGATTGGAATTGACAGATTATATTATATTTGAGCATCTGGTAAAATTACTGGTAGGTGTCTGACAAGTCTGTTAGGTCAGAGAAAAAAAGTTAGCCATAGGTACATAAAAAACAAAGCAAATGGGGAAAAATGCAATTACTGCATTAACTGGGGGGGAAGATACTAAAAAAAAAATGTAATCGGAGTATATTATTTCATTCAGCAGTGTACAGTATTTAGTATTCCTAGTAATGCTAGCACTGACTATTGACTTCACCAAAAATTGTATTAAGAGGTTAGGAGGAGAAGTAAAAGTGGTAGAATAAGAGAAATCAAATGATCGACTACCATAATAGGAAAGAATAAACAGACACTGCTTGAGGTCCTAAACTGATGAATCAACAAATTACAGAGTCAGCACATTAGTTAGAATATGGCCTACATACCAGAAAACACCTAACAGACTTCCAAGTGGCTGCCTCTAAGAAGCAGGACTGGGATGGGGGTGGACAAGGGTGGGCAAGGACTGTTGTTTTCCTGTTAAAATCCTTTTAGAGTTGAAGGGTTTTTTCCCCCAGCTTTATTCAGGTATAATTGACATATGATAAACTGAATGTGTATAAAGTGTACAACTTGATACACTTTGAAACCACTTCTACAATCAAGGTAATAACTATATCCATCACCACCAAAAGTTTCCTGTTGCCTGTTTGTAATCCCTCCCTCCCTCCATCCCCTACCCCATCCCCTCAGTCACTTCTCACTTCTTGCAACCACGGATCTGCTTCTGTCACTACAGAGTGGTATTTTCTATAATTTTATGTAAGTGGAATCATACAGTATTTTTGTTGTTGTTGTCTGGCTTCTTTCATCAGTATCATTATTTTTAGATTCATCATGTTGTTCCATATATCAGTTGTTCATTCCTTTTCATTGCTGAGTAGTATTCCACTGTATGACTATACCATAATTTGTTTATTCATTCCCCTGCTGATGGACAGTCTGAAGTGCCATGGGACATTTGAGTATGGATATCTACTAGTAGGCAGTTAAGTAAACAGAGCTATGCAAGTGAGAGACTTTAGGTTAAGGATATAGGTTTGACAGTCATCAGTATAAATATGGTAACTGAAAAAACGGATTGAAGCTACCTGAAGAGAATGTGTAGAGTAAGAGTACACGAAAATTCTTATTTTGGGGAATGCACTGAACCTACATATTTTCATGTCCTTCCTCTCTAAATGCTATTGAAATGAGAGAAAAGGTTTAAAGATAAAAAACAAAATCCACATCTGCATTAAAAAACAGGGAACGGTCTCATCAACGAACTATAAACTTGGAGAAATTTCTAGAAAATAAAAAGGAAAGAGGACTTTTACTTCTTGCAGTATAGCCAACTAAATATCTCCTCCCACAAAACATTCATACTCTTGGATAACAGCAACAATATACTTTAAAATGTGTTGCTGAGCACTGTATACACCTTAAAAAAAAACCTTAAAATATATAAAGCAAAGCAACAAAACTACAAGGAGAAATGAACAATTCCATGATCATAATGAGAATTTCAGTATAACTTTCTTAGTAAATGAAAAGTCAAGCAGACAACAAAATTAGTCAGTAAATATGAGGTTTGATGAGCACTACAATGAACAAGTCTGACTTAAAGGGCACATACAGAACCCACACCCAGCAATTAAGGGACAAGAGTTTTGGAGGATGTTGAACCAGTGGAAAGTTCATCCCGTCCTGATGAGGCAAAATGACTGAACAAAGACAGGGCTGCCAGAGTTGGTATACTATATCTATCTTACTTAAACGATGCCATGAGACCTGACCCTTTGCCACCTACCAGGAATTTGTTGGAGAGCAAAACAACACAGTACTTTTCTCAACTTCCTCTATGCTGAGGGGGAGAATGCCCAGACTTTGTGAGTATCCTCCTCTGGGAATGAGGTGGAAGAAGGGGAGGCATGGACTACTGACAGCATTTACTTCTTTGTTTACTGTCCCCTAAAAGCCTAGTTCCTAAATTTTTTGAGTGTCTGGTAATCAGATCCTTTGGTGGAAAGAATTAAAACACACTGTATTTAGTTCTTCTAACTCAGAAGTCATTTTGCAATAGCTTTGATAAACTGAGGGTCAGCACTTAAGAACTAATCATCCAGTTCAGGGCAAGCAAAATGAAAGTCACACATGTACTTTTACTATACTAAAATAATTTCCTTACAGGGCAAACATGGCAAGTCACTTCCCTTGTTTAATTCTTCTAGTGTGCCAGTGTTGCTTAATCCAGTAATGCTGATGTTCACGTACTATGTAAAGGATAAACTGGATGTTGAAAATGCAATACCTTCAGAGGCCAGGCTGGTAAATTCAAAGGGTATTAGACAATAGGGAGTAGTGGGGTAGCAGCTGCTACTCAACTGCAGTACACTGCTACTTGGGAAATGTGGGCAGAGAACTGTCAGATATATCAATTTCTCACAAGAAAACAGAATCTGGATTTTTATTTGAAATCACCCAAAGTTTAGATTTTGGCACTTTAATTTACACATTTAATACCCTGTGTAGGACATGTCTTCAGGTCAAATCCAATATGGGCCACCAACTTCCAAATTCTGCTGCAGACTAACAAACTTAAAGAGTTTTATACTTGGAAGGGACCTAAAAGGACGTTAGTCAATTATTTTCTCTGTGTGTGTGTGTGTATTTTCTTTAAATAAAAGGTTACAGAGAAGCCCCGTACATTTAAATAAATAAAGGCGTAGCTACCGCAGCTGAAAAGGAAGCCCTCCCCACTGAGATACCTCTCACTGCTCCCTTTCACTACTAGTGACCTCAAAGCACCTCCAGAGATCATAGTTTGAACGCCACTGTGTCCTTATCCCTGACCGAAAGCTCCTTTTGCCAATACTATAGCTACTGATGATAGACCAGAACTTTGATTTATTTAGCACTTACCATAAGCTCTACCATTTACCTTTACAACAACCCTGTGATATGCATGTTCCTATCTCTGCTTTGCAGGTAACTGAGACTCTGAGAGGTTAAGCAATTTGTATAATCACAAAAGTAGTAAGCAGCAGAACTAGGATATGAACCTGGGTCCATATGACTCCAGAGCATGTCCCCTGTAACTTTTACACAATGCTGTCACTCAATTCTTCCTGGAAATTACCCTTTCCCAAAGCACCAACACAGGCAAAAATGCCAGCAAGGATGAAGGGAAGAAAAGATATCAAAAGAGGATTGGGAACTTTCTACATGAAAGAAACTTTCCAGTTCGAAAAAATAAATGTTCACAGGACTCATATTAAAGACTCTAAAACCTCAAGCTATCTTTATCACATTCCAGATGATACATGTTACCTCTTGAATTAGGTAATTTTGGAACAAATAATTTTAGAATAGTAGCACTTTAAATAATGGGTAGTTAGAGCACTGCCTTAGTAATACCAAGATCAAGGATCCCTATGCTGGCCAGCTGCCAAAACAAACAAACAAACAAACAAACAAATAAA